ACATTTCCCCTGGAGAAATATTTTCTCCATCCTCCAACACCGTGAGTGCCTGTCATGCTCACCCTCTCCCCTTCTGCAGGGCTCCCTATCCATCCACTGCCAGCCCTAAAATCCTGGCTTAGTTAGGACCAGAAGTGGATATCAAAGGCAAGCTGGTTGGTCAGTGACGGTAACCTGGCAGGAAAGCTCTGCCCACGGAGGAGTTTAGGCTAAATTAAGTGATCCACAAGGTCCTATCTCCAAAACTCAGAGAATTTTAACTCACTCATGCATGCACACACTTGCACCTGTGCGCGTGCGCGCAAACACACACACACACACACACACACACACACACACTGGCAGCGAGAAAGAAAAATGTAGAAAAGGAGACACAGGAAAGCTCAGTCACCATTCCTGGCGTGCCCAAGGGGAGGATAGTGGGATGTCAGTCCAGGAGGGGATGGTGTGGGGAAGGGAAGGGGTTTGCTGATCCTTGAGCTGCAGGCTTTTCCAGTGAGAACCAGCTCCATAGCGGCTGGGATCCCTTCCCTGCACATCCTCACCAACCCCATTTACCCAAGTTACCTGCTCCATGCTACATCCCTGCAGCTTGCAGCATTTTTGCAAGGGCTAAAGGTAATCTTCCTGAAGTGCCTGGCAAATCCAAACATGTAATGGTAGGCATTTTTTATAAATAAACCATTGCAATAAACATACAATTAGCAATAGTGCTGGAAAATGGCCTAGGTTTCTTGAAAAAGTTAGCAATTTAATATCGACCAAAACTGGCATTTGATCATTAAAAGTCTTCAATAAATTTAAATTCTGTGTGGTTACATGTACCACGTATATTCAGGAAGGGAACTCACTACATTTCTGAAGGAAAATAGTCCAGGGAGCTGGGTAGCTGGAATCCTCCATCAGAAACCATGGTCAGGGAGATTTGAAAGTCTATAAATGTAATTAGTTGTATTTTATAGAACTCTAATTTTATTTATAAAAATTAATTTATATTATAATTTTTGACAACTCAAAAAATAATTTTTTATTATTAAAAAAACTGACAATGAAATGAAAGAATTTTGAGAGAAGGGGATAAATTCACCTGTAATCCTGCCATCTAAATGCCAATCTCGTCCTTCTAAAATGATGCCCCCAGTTTTCCTCCACCAACATCCAATTTGTAGCGAACTGCTAACCCCATAAGTACAGTGTTATATTCTGTCTTCCCTTCCTGTGGCAGACAGCTTTCTGTACTGCTATAGACCTGTAGTCTAGCATTTTAATAACTGCTAAATAGTCTACTAAATGAACATATTTCTGCTATGGGGAGATAATGAACACCAAAGTAATACTATTTAAAATTAGAAGGCCTTGCTCATTCATATCTACCAACATTTGGCCCCCAAAACTTTATCCTTCCTAAAGAATTCATTTGGTGGTCTTTATGACTTTGTTCCTTAAATCTTAGAACTCAATATACTGGGTGAATATACTGGCTTAATTTTAGATTTCAGTTTGTTAAGTGGAAAAGGAAAAATACAAAAGACAATTTACCGCCAGTGCCATCCCCATTGGTGAAGTCTCCTCCTTGAATCATGAAATCTTTGATGACACGATGAAATTTGCTTCCTTTATATCCATATCCTTTCTAAAGAGATTATGTCAATTGAATATATAAGTAGATATAACCCATACTGAAAGATAAACCCCAGTGTTTATCTGAAAATAACAAAACGAGAAAATTATACAAAATACCTACAGAACTTGATTAAGCCTCTGCAATAATTCACTGTTAGAAATTATCATTAACTGATCAAATTAATAAATATAAGTAAACAAACAAGCCATGGAAGTAAAGTACTAATGTGAATTACTAAAAAATGAGCAATCTGCATTTTCACTTGATGACTGTTTCCCCTCGATTTCTAGAAGCCTCAGTGTTTTAAGGACACCGAGGGCCTGAAGAATACAGGTTTTATACAAAAATGAAGTAAAATATTGCAAGATGTCTCAGGTCCACCTGACCTACTAATTAAATACTTTTTTCCCAGAAGACATCTTTATCTTGACTTAAGAGAAGGAAGATCCAATTTGTGCACAAAAGAAATAAGCTGAGACATACCTCCCCTGTGGCCAAAGCGACAAAATTGTCCACCGTCTTGGGCACAACTTTTCCAAAGAGGCCAATCACTATCCTGCCAACATCTTTGTCTCCGATCCTCACGTCCAAGAAAACCTGTGTGTGGTTGAAAGGCAGAGCAGGAGGTTATGTGGAAACGCCACGTATACAAGGTAAGTGAAAATGAAAATCTGTGAATTGATCCACATACGAAAGCCCTGCCCACCAGTATTTTACAGAGGGGTCATGAAGGAGCATGATATACGTTAAAAGAACTCTAATCCCATGTTTTGGGTGCACTTTGCTCGTACATATTCATTCAACAACCATTTATTGAGCACCACCTAAGGGCCCGACACTGTGGTAGGTACTGGGTTTCACGTTTGACTCAATACTGTCAGAGTCGGCCAGTAAAGTCTTCAAGAATTCCACTTCCCCACACACCCAGACAAGCACTGCTGCTACTTCCTGCTTCCCAGTTTGTGGGTGAAGGTTAGAGTGGAAACTTTCTCTTCTGAAAGGTAATGCTCTCTCATCTTGTCAGAAGAAGAAAAATTGGTGAGGAGATGAACAGGCTAGCCATCCAGATTTAGTTTGTGGAACTTCAAACACTGCCACTTTCCCAGTGAGTTCTCCATAGACATCTGCAGCCAAGGGGACTGCAAAAGATGATCAAATCGCACGCAGTCCTCCCAAAGGCCTGCCACTCCCTAACCCTAACCCTAACCCTAACCCAAGCTCAGTAAGGCACCAGGTCCCCAGCCTCACCCAAAGTACAGCAAAAGTTACACTCAGGTCCTGACGAAACCTTTCCCAAGCATGTCAAACTCGCGGTCAGCGGGCCGCATGCCTCGTTTAGTGGCCCACCGGCCACACGATTGACATACTTCGTCATGTTACACAAGTAACGTGTTCTTTTACTGTCCCAACGTTTTAGGACAGAAAAAAAACACATATCCAGAGGTAAGTGTGAGTCGCTCTTTTTGCAGATAAACTTTAAAGGTTCTCTTGGACTTTAAAAAAGAACCTTGTCATCTGAAATGAAATTATATCCATTTTGCTTCACAAATCACTGTGTGAAGATGATTCGGAGACAGAACACTTGAAAAGGCCATGGAGTCGAAGGGCATTCTATTAGCGAGTTTAGATTATATGAACCAATTTAATGTTTGAATGGATGTGGAAAAAAGACATCCAAGAGATGGCTTTAAAAAATATAAGAAGGGTTGTCAAAGAAAAAGGATGTCTTACAGTTGAGGAAAATCACGAAGTAAAGACTGTCCACCTTCAGTTCAAGATAAGAGCTTCTGCCAATACATCAGCCCGTCTGCCGTGAGTGATGTGATATTTAGTGTTCCATGTGGTGTTTTACAATTTTCACATGGCAAAGCAGTAAACACTGTGTTGGTATTTATCCAGTATAACTGTAAGAATACATGGAAGACCTTGAGCTGAGGCAATGATGTAGAGGAGAGCAATGCAATGAGCTGCGTTAACCCACACATGAGCCTGGTCCTGTAGAGCTTGTCTCTACAAAGGGATTTCCAAGCCAAGGAGTAAATTCTTCAGGGACTATAACAAAGTAGCACCAGGAAAAGAGTCAGGGACATGATTTTAAAGAAGTACTGTATAAGATACTGGAAAAGCCTGCCAGACTTTTAAAATAGAGCGGAGCAAATAAAGCCGTGAACGTTTAAAAGTAAAGAAAATAACATCTGGGGAGCCCGAGAAGTGCTTTTCATCCAGCCGAACTCAGTAAAAATCTTATTGTCTTGTACTCAGCCTTACTGTCGTACACTCTAATGGAAATGGAGCTCCCAGTCCCACAGAACAGAAAGCGCATATACCAGTAGCTTTAGTATAATGGGAAATCAAGTGTTATCAGAAAACGAGTACAGATAAAATAGGGTTAGAGGTGCTGATTATCCGCGGGGACCAGGGCAGGCTTCCTGGAGTTGGTACTTGGATCCCATGTTGCACTTTAAGGGTGGGCATCTCAGTCACTTCGTGTTTTCCCTCTAAGCTGCCCTTGAAAGTGATTTGAAAATTATGGGGCACTGGAGGTGGAGAGAGGTGAGGGAAGAGTGAATAGGCACTTAGGTAGCCTGACCCAAACCCCTGTAGGGTTCATCCTCTTCCATCTCCACAGCAAAGTGAGCTGTGATGTCAACGAAACCCAGCTCCACCACTAACTGGCTGTGAGCTCGTGGTCCTCATCTGTAACACAGACGATTCTTCAGGTCTGCATTGCTGCAGGGGGATTAATAACACCAATAACTCTAACAACTGAGCTCTTCAGCCAGGAACACACATCAGGGCTAATCACTCTACCTGCTCTATCACATCCAGGATGCAAAACTTTCATGAGCAGATATTACCTCCATCTCCATTTTACAGAGGAGCCAGAGCCTGAGACATCAGAGAACCCGCCCAAGATCAAGATCACCCAGCCTTAGTCTCATGGCCACGCCACAAGGTAGAAAGTGCCAGCACGCTGTGAAGAGTACAGCTGCAAAGGGGGCGGCATTACTTTCTACACTCAGGGTGCCTGGCTATACAGAAGCCTTGGCTCTGCTGGAAAATGCAGGGGCCACTTCAGTGGGTTTTGAGACCAATGTGCCAGAGCCCCACCTGAGCCTCTTTGGCTGGGCAGGAAGCTGAGGCAGTGGCCTGACAGCAGGCTTCAGGGACAAGGTGAGGGCCAGTAAAGGGCCCTGCAGGCAGACAGCACCACCCACCTCATTTACAGATTCCTGATTTTAGAAATCAGAGGAAAAGCAAAAGACTGCCAGGGAAAAGAAAACAGTAGAGCAGTGGCCAATTAATCTACTTTTCCCCACTCTGAGAAATCATTTTTAATGTCTCCATTTTCCAGGAGATCTTGTTGCTTTAAAAAGTTCACTGAAAGTGTAATGAATTCAACAGAGTGGAACCTGAAGAAGACTAGCCTACGTAATCCTAGAATAAAACACCTGGAAACTTCCTCAGTGACAACACCTTAAACCAGGGGCTGAGATGCTCCAAGCTCGCCTCCTGCAGCCACAGCTTCCTCCTCTCCTCTATCCCTCCCTCCTCTCGAGTTTCCCAACCCAGGCACCCCCAGAGGTGGTGACTGACTTGCTCTGGGGTAGGCTCTGCATTGGTAGGTTTACAACTTCCCAGGTGAAGCTTGCTCCCAAATATTGCAGGTGACACTCTCACACCAAGAAATTCCTCACTGTTTATCTGAAATTCACATCGAACTGGGCCTCCTGTATTTTATCTGGCAATCCTAATCCCTTTCCCCTTCCCCCTATCTAAACTGTCAGCAAGTCTTGTGCTACCTCCAGAATCTATATCAAGTCCCTCCTTGCTCCCCATTTCTCCCATTTCCACCCTAATCCCAGCCACCACCATCTGGACTCTGGCATGGAGCCCAGCATGCCCTCCCAGCTCACTCTCCGGAGACTGAGCCACCACAGTAATGGTTTAAAAGCACATATGAGACTTGGTCAAACCCGTGCTTAAAACCCTTCAGCGGCTCTATCTGCACTTAGAATAAGACCTCAAATTATAAGACGAATTGCCCCAAAACCCACACTCCTAACTGTGACCTCTGAGGCCCTGCAGGATCTTGCTGCTGCTTAGCCCCAACCTCACCTGGAGCCACGCCCCTCTCAGCCCTGCCCTGAAGCCACACTTCCCAGGCAATCCAGCCTCTTGATGGGAAGATGGCTTTCCTGTCTGGAGGCCTTTGCACAGGCACTAAGTTTGCCTCCCTACTTTTTTTTCCAGGCTGCGTTTCTTATCCTTCAGGTATTTTTAAATGTCACCCAATCTATAGTGGGGTTTATTTCCTTCACCATTTCATAATTTCATGAGTTTTATGTTTATGGCTGTATCCTAATAGGCCCAAATATATTTGCAGACTGAAAGAGGCCCCATCCCCTGCTTCAGCTCTGTGGCCTGCACACGCCACTTCCCAAAACTAGATAAGCCCAAAAGATCAAGGGGCTGGGAGTAGAATTTGCGCTGAAAACAATCAGGCTAAGTTTATCTCAGGCAGCCCCGCCCCAAGGCCTATTGGTTCACTCAGGGTACATCAGATGCGGGGCTGAATCCCCCTTCCAGCCCCTTTGACACCCCCTCGCACCATCTCAGGTGGGGTCTGCGGTAGATTTAAGGGTTCTACCAGTTCCACAGTGCCATGTCCACGGGGCTGGTAGTTAAGACTGCGTGAGCGGCCCCTTCCTCCAGATTCCAAGAGACTACCGCCCGGAAGTTTTTCTAGCAGTGGTAATTAACAAGCAGCCCAAGCAGCCCCCCTTCCCCTCGCCTGTCCCTCCCTGCGCCCTGCACCCTGCCATTATCTTCTAACCTTGGGTAACTGCTGGAAAAAAACTGAAGTCACGAGGGCAGTCCATGGCAGATTTGGCAGATCCCCCGCCCCCCCCCAATCGAGACAAAAAGGCCGGCCTCACTGACACAGGTGCTGCCTATGCCCCCCGCACCACCGCAAGCCCAGGGCCTGCCCACCAGCCGCGGAAGTCTACGGGCGCACCTCTCTCTCCCAGGGGAGGACCAAGCTCCTAAATGAGGAGGCAGGCTCCCTCGAACACGGGTGGTAACTCCTGCCCGGACACCACCCACACCGGCGCAGGGGCTGTGCTGGGCTCTCCCTGCTGGGTGACATCCCGGCGGGCGCCCTAGGCTACCGCTGAGCTCCGAGCACGTCTCCCCCTCCCGTCCCCGTCCCCCCCGCACTCCTCCCGCTTCAGATCCCAAGTCCCCGCCACGCCGAAGGAAGTGCCTGGGCCGTCCCCTTCCTGGAGAGAGGGCCCACCGGTTCCGGAAGTTTCTCCTAACCCCTGAGCTGGCCACCTCGGACCCCCGACCTGGGAGGTCAAGTTCAAACAAACGGCGGCGGGGGCGGGCTAGGACTAGG